CCACCTCAAGCACAAAGTCCAGAAGCGGTTTCCAAGTAGAAACAAAAGTAATTGTGGTTTTTTTCTTTTCTTTTATCAAAGCAGTCAATTTAGCCCTCTCTGCTAACTCCATCAGCTTTTGCAGCCATTCCTCCATTGTGGGGAATGAAGCGTCCTTCCATTTTCGTGCATAGAGCAATCTTCCTGCCGCCAAGATATATATAACATCGAAGTTCAAATGTCTTTTTCCAAGTCTTTTCCCATTAAATTCAAAAGACAAGTTTCTGGTTTTATCTTTACGTTCACAATTTCACAGAATTGTTATAGACATAATATTGAAAGAGGAAGCATTATATAAGCTCCTGGAATTCACACAGAAAGGTAGAAATCTAATAAAAACACACATGTGTTTAAACGTATATACTCAGTAAGAGTAAGAGAACAGAACTAATATACAGTACTTGCGGTGAATTAAAAGCAAAGCGAGAACAAAGAAGCAGCCTAATTACAATTAAACAAGAAAATGAACTTTAGTGCCTTTATAATTTCTTTAGTAAACTATGGTCAATCCAGCTGGAAATGAGTTGAGGTTCTGTTGCTCCCTCTTCAATCTCTCCTCTTGTGTAACTGACTTCAAAAAAGACTTTTCTGCCTTCATGACAGTTACTCTTATGTCCCGTGACTTGCAAATTGGGATCTGCGTTTAAAGAACTACGTGGAAGGTTGCATATCTCACCAAGCCTCTTCAAAAATGAGACAAAAAAGGCACATCCTTTTTCTGTTTTCTTTTTTGCTTTCGAGAGACATTTAGCAGGGCAAAAATTAAAAACCAAAAGCTTCAAGGCGATAAACACTGGTCAGAATTAATAGCTGCTTCAGCCAGAGCAAAGATTCTGCAGAATCAGGATGAATTCAGAGGTTCAAGTCACAAGAGAACAGGGGAGATACTAAGAACCAGTGCTGTTTTTGTAAAAAAAAAAAAAAAAAAAGTGCTGGAACTCACACATGTCATACAATCTGCCTTGCCTACCCTACGAGGTTCCATCCAAAAAAGGTGCTGGAACTCCGTTCTGGGCGTTCTATGAGGGGAAAAAGCCCGGCTAAGAACCATTACAAAAGGGCCTTTTTGCAACGTTCTTTGGAAACAGTCCTAATTCAGATTTTTAACTCTTGAGGTTTCTACCAAGAGACTGGCTAAAATTTGTCTTTATTGAGTGTAACCGTAAGAAAGAGAAAAAAGAAGTCTCCTCTTTGTAGTTGCAGTAATGTTTTAACGTAAACGTCAGCTAACAATGCAAGGGGATTAGGGCACGTAGGAGTCTGCGTCAAATACAGAAATGCACTGTACCATACTAAGCAACACACCCCCAGAAAAATACAGCATACTCCATTTAATCCTCCAGGAAAAAGATTGAAGGCAAACGAGGCCCAGGCAGAAGAAGAACATCATGGCTTCAAAATCTAAGGGATTGGTTTGGACAAAACTCAGCAGCACTTTTTCGTGCGGCTGCTGATAAAAGTAGGATCGCCAACATGATCGTCAACGTCCGATAACGGATATGGCAGAAGAAGGAGGAGGAGGAGGAGAAGAAGGAAGAAGAAGAAGAAGAAGAAGAAGGAGGAGGAGGAGGAGGAGGAGGAGGAGGAGGAGGAACACACCGGTCAACACAATGGAAAAGGTCAATCTTGGTACCGATTGCAAAGAAAAAAAGACTTAGCAAAGTAAAGCAAATGATTAAAAGCAAAGTGACAGTAACTTTAATTTCACATACTAGCAAAATTAGGATCATTCAATGCCAATTATAGCTCTACTTGGAAAGGGTAGATACCAGATGTTCAACCTTGTCTCAGAAAATGGGTTGGAACATTACTGCTAATGCACCTTGGAAAACTGAGTAAGCCAGAGAATACCCCCAAAAGTCAGTATGTGCTTTATGGGATAAAATAAATAAATAAATAAATCTGAAAACACACAAAGAGATTCTAACAGTAAAAGTAGATCCTGGCCTTTGTATTGCTTGGGTTGATTATTCCATAAAAAGTATGTGCAAGTAACTCTGAAGACCTAAGAGCAGAACTGTTCCCCCAAATGATTTAGTATTGCAATCCATTCTGTCCCTAACCATGCTGAGTTAGACTAATAGAAACTGGAGTTCACGAACGTTAAGAGTGCCACATGTTGACCATCTGTGTGTCCTACAGGAACAATGGCAAACAGAATAATAGCGAGGATCAAAGGAAGGGCATGCTGAACTATTGTATGGTAGGTTTGTTTTTGATTTAGTGTTATGATCTTCCACATTTTGACTCAGTAGTACTTTGGAACAGACCACCAATGTAGGATAGATTGTCAATTTTGCTAAGGGTAAAAGTTTCCCTGTCAGTCGTGTCTGACTCTAGGTCAGGGGTAGGCAACCTTGGCTCTTTTATGACTTGTGGACTTCAACTCCCAGAATTCCTGAGCCAGCCATGCTGAGGGGAAAGGGAGAGGTTTCCAAGCTGAGCCATGCTGGCTCAGGAATTCTGGGAGTTGAAGTCCACCAGTCATAAAAGAGCCAAGGTTGCCTACCCCTGCCCTAGACATTTCTATAACAACAAACCTATCTAATCAGCAAAACCCAAAGTCAGTTTCATGTTTTTCCACCTCAAGCACAATGTCCAAAAGCAGTTTCCATATGGTGGTGGTAAGTGTCTTTAGTTCACTGCTTGAAAATGTCACTTGGCTTGCTGTATTTTCATATCTAAAATTTCTTATTGTCTACAGCAGGGGTAGGCAACCTTGGCTCTTTTATGACTTGTGGACTTCAACTCCCAGAATTCCTGAGCCAGCATGGCTCAGCTTGGAAACCTCTCCCTTTCCCCTCAGCATGGCTGGCTCAGGAATTCTGGGAGTTGAAGTCCACGAATCATAAAAGAGCCAAGGTTGCCTACCCCTGATCTAAGTGCTCCTCTCCATTTCTTGGCCAACGGAGCTAACACTGTCCAAAGACTAATTCCATGGTCATGTGACCAGCATGGCTATGCACCAAAGGCGCACAGAATGCTGTTGTTACCTTCCCACTGAAGTGGTACCTATTAATCTACTTGCATTTGCATGCTTTTGAACTGGTAGGTGAGCAGGAGGTGGGGGCAAGGAATGGGAACTCCCCCATTGCGCGGAGCGTGGATCGCGAACCTGGACTATCAACTCTCAAGCTGACAAGCTCAGTGTCTTTAACCGCTGAGCCACTGTGCCCAATTTTGCTACCATCATATTATTTCATAGCTACTTAATTAGTAGCTTCCAACACTGCATTGGCTGGTTATTGAGGTCAGGGTTAAAAACAGTTCTGTCTAAAGAAGAAAGGCATTTTAAAATAGTTTTTCAAACAAACCCAGTCTGCTTGTAACTAATTTCTCCTTGAAGAACATTTCAGCAGTACTTCTAGCTACAATTAGAAATATGACAATATTCCTGCTGTCATGTGTCTGATTAACGAAACACTTAAAAGGACTTTCAGGCATATTTTTTCCTAAAAGCATTTATTAAGGTTACAGAGACGTCAGTACAGCATGGTGGAAATGCTTAGGTCTGGCTTCTCTTCCGTTACGCATATACATTCTAAGCCAGTGGTTCTCAACCTGTGGGTCGGGACCCCATTTGGGGTCGATCGACCATTTCATGGGGGTCGCCAAGCAAGGCTGTCCGCCATTTTTTTTGTCCGCCATTTTTTTCCCCTTTTTTGGCGGGTGCCTTACCTCCCTTGGGCTGGGCCAGCTGGTGGTCGGCCTGCTCTGTCTCTGCCGCTTGCCAGCTACCCCTCGGCCGGCGCAGGGGGCGGAACCACGCATGTGCGGCGCTCCCGGGCAGGGAAAGTCCTCGACTTACGACCGGTTGGGTAGTCCTTGACTTACGACTGGTTTAATCCTCGACTTACGACCGGTTTAGTCCTCGACTTATGACCGGTTTAGTCCTCGACTTACGACCGGTTGGGGTTGCGGCATTAAAAAGGTTGAGAACCACTGTTCTAAGCATTTCTCCCCCCCCCCCTTATTTTGGAGTCATGGTTCACATCTTCCAATCAACTTGGAAGATGTGATTTACTTCCGGTTTCTTTTTCCCGGGCTATCCTTATTCTCCTCCCTTTTCCCCTGTTGCCTGGTTTAACTATAAAAATACCAGACAGTTCTGCATATTGTCAAAGCAAGAATATACAGTATTTGCAGCGTTGACACCTGCCTTATTTGTTACCGTATCTGATTGTCCTAAACGTCCAATATCTTTCAACGCCCAGTTATCCCAGCCAGTCTGAACAGACACTGTTCTCACAAATTCGTATCACCCTCATCCTCATCTAATATTTGCATTTGGTTGAGCTTGCTTTTCCTGCAACTTTTCTCTTTTAATAAAAAAAAGCAAAAAGCATCACAGCGAGCATGATTTCAGAACTCAGTGCACCTATGAACTACCATTATGCATCAGACAACTGGAGCATCTAACTAAGCACTGTTTATTGTTTATGCAAGCCTGCAACTGCTAGTACAGCTCCAGATTCCAGCTATAGGATTCTTCCCAGCCTATTTAGACAGAACTGTGTAAACTTATGTGCCGGAGTGGTAACCTGCTTACATTCTACAAAAATAAGCAAAGAGTTAAAACTCCTCCTGATGGGGAGGTAAGGCAGAAAGTTAACAGAACAAGGGAGAAATATCAAGAGCTAACATGAATTAGTCTACTTTTGGATTGTTTGTCCGTGGCATTTTAAGAACTGTTTCCCAAAGCAATGTTCAAATTATTACATGATCAATCCCATACTTGAAACAAGAAATCTCTAGCAAACAAATGCATAATGTAGAGTCAGAATCCCAACGCGGATGCATGCATTTGAGGTTTCAATTAGCAAGGGAATCTGCATATAAAACTTATTTCTCATGCTACAATAAAAGAGTTTTGAATCGGGATTAACTTCGGATATCCCCATAATCCTCCCTTCTCCTCCATTGCCAACCCCACTCCACATTTCAAACAGATTCATTCTTACGTTGGTTGTGCCAAGCAGCCAGGAGCTATAATATCGCAACTCTTCTCATTAGCGTGCAGGCTTGTGAGCTCCACCATGTTGACCATCACATCAGTTGTATGACCTGGTAACTTGGGAAGTATAGAGAGAATCTTCTCTGCTAAGTTGTCACCATGATGCCCAACAGCTCCTGGGAAAACACAAAACAAAAATCACCCCAATGAAAAATAGTCACATATCTCTCTCGTGTAGTGGAATATTTCCTAACTAATAATCTGATCTCAACTGATTACAAAAGAAATCATTTTAGAAATGGCTTTTTAAAAAACAATCCCGCTGTAGGAGCAAATAAAATATGAAAAAATAAAACAATAAATCTCAGAGGAAAGAATAAAAGAATTTTGAAAGTCTGGCAGAGCTTCTCTTTGTTCCATCTTATATCCCAGGAAAACTGACATGGGATTATTTTAGGTTTTTTTTTTCAAGCTTTCTACTTTTTAGGCTCAAATTGCTATTTCTCCATCTTCCCCCATCCCAAGGCCAGATTTACTTTCAGAGTATCAGAGATCGGAGCTGGAGAGACCCTAGAAATGGGATCTTCTTCTGTCTGTTTCATTTATTGACGAATTTAATTGATTTATTTATGAATTAGACCAGGGGTAGGCAACCTTGGCTCTTTTATGACTCGTGGACTTCAACTCCCAGAATTCCTGAGCCGGCCATGCTGAGGGGAAAGGGAGAGGTTTCCAAACTGAGCCATGCTGGCTCAGGAATTCTGGGAGTTGAAGTCCACGAGTCATAAAAGAGCCAAGGTTGCCTACCCCTGAATTAGACAATGGATATTGATATTTAACCATTTTAACAGTTTTGTGGAGGGGTTCTTTGTACCTGATATTAACTACATATGCCATCTAGTGTCTAGCCAATATCAAATAAATGTTTAGATCCAAATATAAGTTGATATAGGCCCATAGTTGTCATGACAGTCATGAAATCCCAACCTGCTCCAAACAGAATTAAAATCTTTATAGAGTTTTCAGCAGCAGAGTTGGTGAAATATGGTAATAAGTGTATGTTTTCCTTGGTATGGTCCTGAAGAGATTAAGTATTTTCAACGTTCTTCTCCTCTTTTAACCTTCATGAGTAGCATACCTAAGGTCATGAGTAGCATACCTAAGAGAACATTTCTCTGTTCTTCTCTCACGTTTTAAGTGCTGCAAAAAAACCCAACAACTGCTGGAAGCAATTAGTTCATGCCATAAGAATGGGAAAGGAAAAAACAACACACAAAGGACAAACGCAAATGCAAAATCCTACATAAGAAACAAGCAAAAGATGATGATCATCTGCAAACAAGATTGATTGAATTGGGATTTTCAAACCACTTGAGCAACAACAATTATTAAAACTTACTTCCTCAGTACAGCATAAAATGGAACACAAACAAGATCATCTCCATCTGATCACACTGTTTCCAGAATAAATATATTTTCTGAGAAGGAGGATCAAACTTTATGAGGGAAACTACATTTGACACAGTAGCTCGACAATGCTTATCAAAATTATAGGCGGTAATCTTCTTTTTTAAGATGCAACTATGCTACCAGGCCCCTCATCTAGACAAAAACAGTGTTTTATCACTGGAACAGGCTGGATTTAGGAAAGATAAATCTACTGAAGATCAAGAAAATATTTTATATCACTTGAGAGAGAAATCCACCCAAGGCTTTAAAATTCCATTTCATGTAACTTTTGATTTAGTCTCCAGAGACAATCTATGAAAAAAAGAAATTGGCAGCACTTACATATGTTGTATATAATATGTTTAGGTGTGTGTCATGTATGTGTTTCACTTTGAGAGCGGGCAACTTAATTTCGTTTTTGATGTGTGCCATTGTATCCACCATAAAAAAATGACAATAAAGGTTATCTTATCTTATCTTATCTTATCTTATCATATCTTATCATCTTACCCATGACAAGAAATTCTTACTATTGATGTATAAATTTTATAGTAACCCTGGTATGAAAGTCAGATGTGATTCCTGTAGCCAACTAAGTGATCCAATTTCTGTAATATAGGAAGGATAATTCCTTGCACTATTTTGATTTAATGTCTATAAAATTACAGAGATATGGCATATTAATCTTTTTTAAAGAGCTCCACTTCCCTAAGCTATCTAAGAGACATATTTTGACATTTCTGCACAACAATTTGGTCATTCTATCATGGTCAATTATTGGTTTGAGAAGAGCATTAAAAACCGTGACCAATATTGCAAAGATCAAAAATTGCTAATGCAGTAAATTACGGTATCAAAAATTTAAAAAGTTCTGACAGAAATATCTGTTAATGCCTCACCAGAGGATTTAAATAGTATTTACTGACGTGAGGGTAACTTTGACTCATCAACAATTATATTTAAAATGCATTGGACTTTCAAAAATATGTATTTTTGAAAGATGAACATCAGATTTCCTTTGCTGGAAGTATAAGAAATTAGAGGGTTCATTGATCCATATGATATAATCATGTGATTTTATAGAGTATCATGCGGTACAGAGTATCATGCAATCCTCAACTTACGACCACAATTGAGCCCAAAATTCCTGTTGTTAAGTGAGACAGTTGTTCAGTAAGTTATGCCATTTTACAACCTTTCTTACCACAGTTGTTAAGTGAACCACTGCAGCTGTTAATTTAGTAACATGGTTAAGTAAACCTGGTTTTCCCATTGACTTTGCTTGTCAGAAAGTCACAAAAGGGAATCACGTGACCTTGGGACACGGCAATGGTGAATGGCTAAAAGAATTATACCGAGAAAGTGATATTATAGTGACATTCCAGATGTTAATGGCTTTCAGAAACATACAGTAGTGGCCAAAATTGTGGAAACCTTTTGGGAAAAGTGTACAGTAGAAATGCCACCTTTGGTTAAGTTTCCACCCATTTTTCTTCTAATTTCTTTAAAACTGTAGCCTTGTTTACTTAATAATACTATTTTACACCGCTTTCTGGGCAACCAGTCAACTCTTTGCACCATTACTTTAATTTTATTACGTTTTACAAGCTCACTAAATGAAAGAACCCCCAAAAAAACCCCAACCAACTTGATAGCGATCACATAACACACTGACAAATGTCCTCCTCTCAGCTTCAATACATGACATCAATAACTGAATCCTACTGTGATCTGATTGGCTCATTGCCAAAACAAGATGACACCTGATTGACTCTCTAAACACTCATGCTCATTGGCTACAATCAGATGAAGGAAAGCTGCCTGATATCAACCTAAGCAAGTTGTGCTTCCTTTTTCTGGTTATTTGGCTATAACCTTTCATAGAATACAGTACAGATAATTGAACAAACTTTGTTGCAATACATTCTTGGTTAAATTATCTTTCCATTGATATATAATTTTATGGTACTACTCCCCCCCAAAAAAGTGGTGTTATTAGCCATCAAACCTCAAAAATACACTTTTCCTAAAAGGTTTCCACAATTTTGGCCATTACTGTATGATCAATATTTTCTATTAATCAAAGGATGAACCAGCAAGTATGAAACAGATTTTGATACTTTATAATATTTTGTATCGATCATATTATGAGGAATAGGTAGTCTAACAGTTGACTAATAACAGCTCATTTAGTAACCGTTCAAAGTTACGACAACACTGAAAAAAGTGACTTAAAACCTTTTTTTCACATGACTGTCGCAGCACCCCTGTGGTCACGTGATCAAAACTGGGACACTTGGCAACTGGCCTGTATTTATGGCGGTCGCAGTCTCCCGGGGTCATGAGATCCCCTTTTGCGACCTTCTCGCAAGCAAAGTCAAAGGGGAAGCCATATTCACATAAAAACCGTGTTACTAACTTAACAACTGCAGTAATTCAGTTTACAATTGTGGCAAGGAAAATCGTAAAATGGGGGCAAAACTTAACTGTCTCACTTAGCAACAGGAATTTTGGGCTCAGTTATAGTCGTAAGTTGAGGACTACCTGTAATGTAAACAGAAGTTTTGTGTCATAGTTTTGAATTTTTTTTCATAATCTTTTAAGTTTATTTATTTAGTGTAGGGGTAGACAACCTTGGCTCTTTTATGAGTCGTGGACTCAATTCTCAGAATTCCTGAGCCAGCATGGCTCAGCATGGAAACCTCTTCCTTTCTCCTCAGCATGGCTGGCTCAGGAATTCTGGGAGTTGAAGTCCACAGGTCATAAAAGAGCCAAGGTTGCCTTCCCCTGATTTAGTGTATGGTATGGCTTTTAAGTTATTATTTTTTCTTTCAGTTTAAGTATTGCTTTGTTAATTGTATGTGGGATTTTTTTTTAGTGCAGTTAGATGTTTGCCATTTCTTTATTCTAATTTATAAATAAAATTTATATATATATATATATATATATATTTTAAAAAGTTCTGACTTTCACTTATTATTAATGGCAACAAATTAGTGCCGGACAAACATTTGATGACTTAGGGATAATATTCCATTCATTTGGATGGAGAAATGTTAATTTAGATTACATGTAACAGAGAAGTGCTACGCTTATCGTAAGCTTTTTCTATATTGAGGGAAGACATTGCATTTCTTACTTCATTCAAGACTAAGGCATGGTTATTATACAATAGGCAAATAAGTTCCAACTTATTTTTTCAGAGAGGAAGCAATCAAAATTGTTGAGCTACCAAATTTATTTATTTAGAAAATAAACATATAGCACGCAACTTAAATCAGTAACTTCAGGAAGTTACAAGGAACCCCAAAACCAATTAAAAATAAAACAAAAGAAATGTACACTTAAGGCAATCATGGTAGAATACAAGAGCTAAGATATATCACAAACCACTCACGGCCTTCAAAACGTTCATATGAGACTCCACTAGCAGCCTGGATCTAATGCTTGAGGCTCATGCCCTTTTGGAAGGCCCACAGGCTCAGAGCCATCCAACTGTGTTTCTAATGGAGTCCTAAGACTGGATGCCCAGATATAGATCGCTATTTTTATTACTTTTTGGAAATGATGTTTTGTAGAACTTGCCTGGTTGCCCTATAACAGTGGTGGCAAACCTATGGCACGGGTGCCAGAGGCAGCACTCAGAGCCTTCTCTGTGGCATGCGCGCCATCGCCCCAGTCCTAGGCCTTCAGCTGGGTTTTATAAAACCTTTTCGCTTTAGGCCTCCGCCATGTGCAAAAAAAAAAAAAAAAGGTTTAATCAGTCAATTTCAACTTCTCGCGGGGAAAAAAAAGATCTTGCAAAGTTGGAATTGATTGACTGAACTTTTTAGTCCCACCCAGTCTGCCATGACCACTGCAGCCACGCCCACCCAATTGCCCACGCGCAGCCAATGGGCCACACCCACCCAGCACTCAACGATGCATAAGTGGGTTTTGGGTTGCAGTTTGGGCACTCGGTCTCTAAAAGGTTCGCCACCACTGCCCTATAAAGAAGAGAATGTCTGTTCTTCCTGGAACGCAAACATTAAAGATGTTAAACATTAAAGATTTAATTATTTTTATCCCATCTTTATATTTGTACAAATAACTCAAAAACAGCGAGCATACCCGTAGTACCTCTTCAGCTGTCAGCTGTCAGAAATTCAAGAGTGTTTTCTTTAGGCCAGCTCAACAGTATTTTTAAATAAACAGCTGGGTTTATTTACCTGTCAAATCTAATGTCCGATCCACAAAAACGACAGAAGCTTTATTGGGTGCGTTTTTCCTCCTGACCTTGGCCTGGGAAAAATTTGCCAGATCCCCTGCAATAATCTTGCTGAGCGGTCCGATGGCAAAGCATTCCTCCCGGACACCAAGATACTCAAAGAAGGCGTTGAGGTCAGACACCAGCGACCTGATGGCAAGCTGCAACTCGGGAGGCAGAGCGGAGAAGTCCACGTCGCTCAGGTGAGTAATTTTTTTCTTCTCCGGCCGCGCCCGATTGATCTGGGCCAGGTCCTCCTCCATCAGAGGGAAAAGCCTGGAAAAGGCAGGCGTCAGGAAGAGGTGGGGCACGACCACGGGGGCCAGAAACAAGGCGGCATGGTGCACCTCTGCCGTGTAGTTCATGTTGCCCATCCATTGGCAAAGCTTCTCTTCGAACTGTTCGAAGACCACCAGGCTGGAGCTTTCAGTCTCGGGCCCAGTGGCGGGAGTGTTGTAGGCCTGCAAGTGGACCGTGTGGCTGACCCCAGTGAAAACCACGCAGTACTGGAAGCCGCTGAGGCTCACGATGTCGCGAATGGTGTCCACCGTCCGGCCTTTCAGCAAGGTGCTGACCACAAAGACCGCCTTGGGTTGCTGGGCACCCCCGGACTCGAAGCTGGAGAACTCCTTGACGTTGAGGGCGCCGGCTTGCAAGAGCTGCCCCATTCCGCCCCAGGTCCAGTGGAGGCTTTCCGCGCAAGCCGAGTCCATGAACACCACCGCCCGCTTCACCTTCGCCAACACCGGCGCCCAGGCTCGCTGGCAGAAAGCCGGCCCCCCAGCTGGGGGTTTAGGACCGGCGGGGGCGGCACACATCGCGCCGTCCCCAAAAACCCTTGCAAACCCCGCTTCAGTCCTCCAAAGGGGGGCAGTTCACACGACCTATCCCCGAGGAAGCGGGCACCTCCCGGCGATTAAGCAGGGCGAAGAAGCCCCACGACCTCCAAATCGCTTGGGGAAACTTATGACTGGGGGCCACCGGGGGAGATCTGGCCGGGATCTGGCCGGGATCAGCCGCGGAAAAGAAGCCGCGCTGGAATCTGGGATCCTCCTCCCCTCCCCTCCCCTCCGCTCCGTCTCAGGATATCAAGCGATCCCAGCCCGGAGAAGCCACGGCATCACCTGCCGCGGCGCCCACCCATGCCTCTTCGCAAGGCGGGCGCGGAAAGATGACGTCTTTTTTTTCGGCGCCCGACGCGGATTGGCTGCCTAAGGGTGAGCCGAGGACGTGGACTCCGGCGTCGGGAGTTTGGAGTGCGGAAGGTTAACCCTTCAATTTGCGAGGAGCTGTAAAAGATTGTAAGCGGGACGGCGCGAAGAAGGTTTTAGGTCAGGGGGTCTTCAAACTGGGCCCTTTTATGACTTGTGGACTTCAACTCCCAGAATTCCTCAGCCAGGCGCGCCTGGGTGAGGAATTCTGGGAGTTGAAGTCCACAAGTCATAAAAGGGCCCAGTTTGAAGACCCCTGTTTTAAAAGGTGCTGGTCATGGGCAGTTCATTATCCTTTCTCTCTGGTCTATTTTGAGCCCTCCCCCCCCTATCCCAGGGGTAGGCAACCTTGGCTCTTTTATGACTCGTGGACTTCAACTCCCAGAATTCCTGAGCCAGCCATGCTGAGGAGAAAGGGAGAGGTTTCCAAGCTGAGCCATGCTGGCTCAGGAATTCTGGGAGTTGAAGTCCACGAGTCATAAAGTGGCCTAGGCCTAGGCTAGAGGTAGGCAACCTTGGCTCTTTTATGACTCGTGGACTTCAACTCCCAGAATTCCTGAGCCAGCCATGCTGAGGCGAAAGGGAGAGGTTTCCATGCTGAGCCATGGTTTCCTGCTTTCTAGCTTGGTGCCTTAATCAGTAGACCAGAGGTAGGCAACCTTGGCTCTTTTATGACTCATGGACTTCAATTCCCAGAATTCCTGAGCCATCATGGCTCAGCTTGAAAACCTCTCCCTTTCCCCTCAGCATGGCTGGCTCAGGAATTCTGGGAGTTGAAGTCCACAAGTCATAAAAGAGCCAAGGTTGCCTACCCCTGCCCTATCCTTTATAATCCTCTGCTTTCTTAATCTGAATTCATAGTCTAATGGTTATCTAAAATTTAGCACAGCATCGAATACCTAATTGCTTTCCTATGGTCATGATGGTCCAGTGGTGCTAACAATATCTCATTATTGCTTGTGTCTGAATGTCATCATTGTATTACAGATTCAATATAGGTAGAATTGTTATTGCTCAGTATTACAAAAGCAGGAGTCCTTCATTTCTGTGAAAATGATTTTAATAGATAAAAAGAATTTATTTTACTTATTTCGTTAGTTATATCCCAGCTCCAAAACACTCTGACTGACAAAACTGTTGAAAATATTACATAACAAAAATGACATCTCGAGGTTCCAGAGTTTTAAAATATTTAAAATACATTTATGAGTTTTTCCAACAGATTATTGTATGTTGTGCAAATTAGGTAACAATGTGAAAGTATTTATCTTTATAAAACAGAAAATATTACAAGTAACAAGAGCTGAATACTTAACATGTTAAAGAGACATGAAGTTTAGACGTATTGTCTGAACAGTCTAGATGGCTGTGAGCTAAATATATGCACGTTAAAGAACAGATATGATCATCATAGCTCCAAATCTTTCAGACAAACTTCATGCTATTACAAAAGCACTTGTGATGTGTGTAGTCTGAGATTAAATGTTGCTAGCATTTCTTAGCTATTTCTAACTCAACGTCAACTCCTAAAATGTTTAGCTATAGCCATTCTGGGAGTTGAAATCTACATATCTGGTAATCGTCAAGATTGGACAGCACAACTCTAAAAGATGACAGCTTTTGTACTTTATTAACAGTAAAAATGTCTTTGGTAAAGGTAAGCTGGTTCCACATTTTATTATAAGGGAGTGCTGCAAGACTGCTAGTACAGAAATGCTTTTATTTGATCCAGGAGTCATTTCCCATTTTCCTTTTAGACAGTTTTGAGTTCTGTTATTTTACGGGGAATTTTTTTTTTTAAAGTGAAGCAGCATGTAAATTTGAAGACCATGACAGGGAGGAAGAAGGGAACAGAAGAGCAGTGGTATATGGAAAGGAGTTTCAGAATCAAAGATTATAAAAGGTAACGTTTAAAGGCTAAGGGTGTTGGGTCTATGTATGTGAAAGCAAAGAAATGTTGGTACGATAAAGTTTTGGTCTCAAAGCATTAGTTCCAAAATATCATGCTGTTGCTTCATAAATCAGTGCTAGGCTGCATTAACAGAGGGATAGAATCAAGATCACAGGAAATGTTAATACCATTTTACAATGCTTTGGTAAGGCCACACTTGGAATACTGCATTCAGTTTTGGTCACCATGATGGAAAAAAGATGTTGAAACTCTAGAAAGAGTGCAGAGAAGAGCAACAAAGATAATTAGGGGACTGGAGGCTAAAACATATAAGGAACAGTTGCTGGAATTGGATATGTCTAGTTTAATGAAGAGAAGGACGAGGGGGGACATGATAGTTTCAGGGGCTGCCCCAAAGAAGAGGGAGCCAAGCTATTCTCCAAAGCACCTGAAGGCAGGACAAGAAGCAACGGATGGAAACTCATCAAGGAGAGAAGCAATCTAGAACTAAGGAGAAATTTCCTGACAGTGAGAACAATTAACCAGTGGAATAACCTGCCTCCAGAAGCGGTGAATGCTGCAACACTGGAAGTTTTTAAGAAGAGACTGGACAGCCATTTGTCTGAAATGGTATAGGGTTTCCTGCCTGAGCATCCTAGATGACCTCCAAGGTTCCTTCCAACTTTATTATTGTTATTATAAATACTAAGGGAATTATGAGTGCTGGTGAGTGGAAAACTTTTGATATGTTTTAATTAAGAACAAAAAAACAATCATGTCTGAAAATCCACAATAGGGGTTTGAAATTGAGAATTTTAATAAATCAAGACCGGTGCACCAATTCTTCCCACGCGTCTTTCTTGACTATTGATCAGCTCAGCTCCCCAAGGATGTTCGGTCTATCACAGTGTTTCTCAACCTTGACAATTTTAAGGCATGTGGACTTCAACTCCCAGAATTCCACAGCCAGCATTGCTGGCTGTGGAATTCTGGGAGTTGAAGTCCACATGCCTTAAAATTGTCAAGGTTGAGAAACACTGGTATCACCTCCAGTGTGATGTCCGTTTAAATGCGTGGCAGAGAAGTCAGAGCAAACCGCCCTGCCAAATGGAAATACATTTCCCAGAACGCCCCGCTTCAGGCTGGGCGGTGCACCCGACGCACCGGGAGGCCGAACGCGTTGGGCCCAACTTCCGCGCCCAGAGCCCGATCGCCTCAGGACTGGGAGATTTGTGGTCTGGCCTAACTCTACCCGTAGAGCCTCTCTAGGCTTCCGGGAGGCCGACGGCGCCCCGCCCCTGCCAGGAAAAGGAGGAAAGGCCGCTCTCTCTCTCTCCGTCTCGCTGTCAGCCGTCACGACTCTTCCCGCCGCCGTTCTGCTCCGCTCTTTTCGTGGCCCCGCGAGCGGGGGGGGGGGGAGAGGCGGGAGCTGTGCGCAAGCGCGCTGCGTAAGGCCGGTCTCGCGCGGCGGGCCGGTGGAGCGCGCGCGTGCGTGCCGGGAGGGTGGGGGGATTCCGTCATGGCGGCGGGCGGCGAGGTGGAGCGGCTGGCGGCGGAGCTGAGCGGGGCCGGTGCGGGCGATGAGGAGGAGTGGCTCTATGGCGGTACGGCTTTCTCACGCTCTCGAGCCCCCCCCTTCCCGCTCAGTCTCTGTGGGAAGGGCTAGGCCCGTCGCCCCAACACCCCGGTTGAAGAACCGGGCCGGGCCTCGGCTGGAGGGGCGCGGCGGCGGCGGCGGCGGCCTGCTGGGGAACGAGGCCCGCTTCTCGCCTGGGCCTCCAGCAGGCCGCGGAGCTGGCGGCTTCTCCTCCCGAGTCCGCCTTTCTCTAGCGGGGGCAGGGGG